CGCTAGCATCTGATGTAGTCATTGTTGCATTTCTATTATGAACCATTATTGTGAAATTTTGCAAGTGAAACTCTTGCCGAATAACCCTGTGAATGCGCTGTCAAACATAGATGACATAGTCAGTGTAGGCTGTAGTGGGGTAGACCATATGGGGTACAACACTGCTAGGTTTCCCTACTTGTACCCATCTCCTTGCTAGTTCAGTCATTCCTATTTCTTCACATGGTATAGAGCGGGTTCCCTAGTGGGACCGTTTCTTCCTAAGGGCCCACCGTCTTTTTTTTTTTTTTTTTCCTACCCTGCCCGAAGTGCGCTTTGCGCTCTGACCTGCCCTACCCTTTGGTGGCCCTTTAGCGGCCTGCCCTGCTCCTGAGGCCCGTCGCGGTCCCCCTTTGCGGCCCCTTCGCGGCCCCTTAGCGACCCCTTTCGCGGCCCCTTAGCGGCCCCTTCGCGGCCCCTTCGCTGCCCCTTTAGCGGCCCCTTCGCGGCCCCTTAGCGGCCCCCCTTCGCGGCCCCATAGCGGCCCCTTCGCGGTCCCTTAGCGGCCCCTTCACGGCCCCTTAGCGGCCCCTTAGCGGCCCCTTCGCGGCCCCTTCGCGGCCCCTTCGCTGTCCCTTAGTGGCCCTTCCCGGCCCCTTCGCGGCCCCTTCGCGGCCCCTTAGCGGCCCTTTCGCGGCCCCTTCGCGGCCCCGCCCTGTTGCCCGCAGCGGCCCCGCCCCGTCGCCACCCGGGTGTCGCCCCTGCCTCGTTGCGACGCCTCAGCGGGACCCGCGCGTCGCCCCTGCCTCGTCGCGACGCCCCTGCGGGACCCGCGAGGTGCGGCTTCTGCGTGTCCCGACGCCCCAATGGGACCTGGGCGTCGCCCCCGCTCGTCGCGACGCCCCTGCGGTGTTGATTGTGTAGGTGGTTGTGGTATTTTGCTCTAGCTGGTTGTGGGCTAAGGGTTTGGGCAAAATGTGGTGGTTAGACTTGTTGCGGGCTGGTATTGATCTCGCACCCAACAAGCACCAACAAACCTTTGCTATTCACTACAACACCTTTGGTGTTGCTAGTTTAGCACTTTGGGTTGTTGGGGATTGTTGTAGGGCAAGGGTTGGGTTGGTAGGGTTTGAACAACTCGTCCCTTTTCAGATCTGAACTCTTGCTAAAGCTAGTCTTTTGGTCTAATCCATGGCTGCCTACTAATTCCGCCAGAATACACCGTCGCACTTAAATCGCGATAGCGATCGGCCTAGATCTTGGTTCAAAGCATGCGTTACCATTCTGGAAAGTAGATATTAAGACCATTCCAACGCGTACCTGCTCATAGTTTAAGGTTACGTGAGCTGCACGCAATGTTCCGTTGAAGTCCGCGGACTTAATCTCTTGTACGCTCTCCAGATTCACGCGCTTTCCATCAGTGGTATCAGAGCTGGTTAGGCCTGCGACATTCCCTCCTATTATCATATTACAAATTGGCTTAAGAATCTCCAGATCTAGGGTTGGTTATGGCCCAGAAATTAGATGGCCCTCCTAGGTTCACCGGCTCTGATTTTTCGCTATGGCGGTTCCAGTTTACGCTTTGGCTAGGTATCAAAGACCTAGAAGGCGTTTTGGAGGGATCGGAGCGAAGACCTGAAGGTGATGAAGGAAAGGCATCTACTGGAGTCTCTAGCCAAGTGGGAGAAGGGGCTGGGGGAGCCTCTAGCTCATCCATAACTGAGGGAAGTGGAGGTGGACCAGCAGCACCGCGAACCGGAAGGCAACGGCTTAGTACAGAGGAGCTTCTTAAGGCACAAGAAGCATGGGACCGCAAGGACAAGCAAGCGTTCCAGTACCTGTGTTGGGCCTTGGAAGGCCAACTAGAGCTCCTAAAGATGCTGATTGACCTGAAGGGCAAGCAAGGAGCAGCTGCACTAGCATGGAAGAGAGTTCAAGATCGACATTTGCAAAAAGGGTTGTTAAGCATACTCACCTGGAGGAAGCGGTTCTACACCATGGAACGCATCTATGGCGATGGGGAGACCATGGTGCAGTACCTCCAGAGGGTGGATGAGTATGTGAGGGCATTGGAGGAGCTGAAATATGAAGTAGATGAGAAGGAGATCATCTACACCGCACTCCAGGGGCTGGACCAAGAAGCAAACGAGGCTCTACTACAATACCTTCACCTAGAGCAGCAGAAATGGACCAAGGCCTGGATATGGGAGGTGTTGGTTTCTGATGAGGCTCGCAAGCGTAATGCTGGTAGAGGAGTTGAAGGGGGAATGGGGGCAGGTGATAGAGTTGCCTCCAAGAAATACCAGCAGCGGCACGGAGGTGGGGGGAAGAAGAAGGAGCTCGACAAGTGCCTCGTCCCTGGATGCAACCGGAAGCACTCTTGGAAGGAGTGCTGGAGTCGACCAGATGGGTGGAAGCCTCAAGGGTACTCAGGAGAGGCTCCACCTGTCACTAGGCCTGAGTGGGTGGAGAGGAGGATGAAGAACGGAGCATGGAACAAGAAGGGCAGCAAAGAGAAAGCGGCAGCAGCGGCGGCAAATGAGGATAAGAAGGGAAAGGAGGACTTATCGGATGATGGCTCCTCCTTCTTATCCTTAGAGAGGGAGACGGCGCTTGCTGGTCGTACGCTGGCTGACCCCAATCAGCTCATTCTAGACTCTGGAGCAACCTGTGGAATGGTACCTCGGCGCGACCTCTTCACCACTTATCACTCCCTCCCACCTAACTCCAGAAATGTGATTGTGGGGAGCGGAGATACGCTGCAAGCAATCGGCATCGGCACCATCACCGTCATGGGGAAGGAGGGGGAGGTGCTGAATGTGAAGGGTGTGCTTCATGTTCCTGATTTGGCAGCCAACCTTCTCTCATGCTCTCAACATGCGAGGCAAGAATACATATGCACCTTCACCATGGAAGGTGGCACCGTTCGCTAGGGTGGAGCTGTGGTGATGGAGGCCAAATTAGAGAAGGGCCTATACCTTGTTCCAGTTTGTGTTTCTCAGGTGGAGAGGGCACATGGAGTTGAAGCCGAGGAAGCCGCTTGTAGCAGCCGTTGGAGGGACGTGGAGCAGGTGACGACAGATTTGCTGCACCTACGCATGTGGCATGCAGGAAGGCAGCAACTTGTGGAGTGTGTGAAGAAGGGGGAGCTGAAGGGTGTGGAGATCAAGGAGGGTGGTGGGCAGCTAAGCAAGTGCCCTGATTGCACGACTGGGAAGCTGCCAAGGACCTCTTTCCCTACCTCCACCACTAGAGCCTCCGCACCTCTTGAGTTGGTGCACACGGATGTGTGTGGCCCCATGCAAACACCGGATAGGGAGAAGGGCAGCAAATATTTCATCACCTTCTTGGATGACTTCAGCCACCTAAGTTGGGTTACCTTGGTGAAAACCAAGGATGAGGTAGCCAAGGTGTTCAAGCGTTGGATACGCTATGCGGAGAGGGAAGCCGGGGCCAAGGTGAAAATACTTAGGTCCGATCGGGGTGGGGAGTACATGGGGAAGGATCTGGAGTCCTTCCTTGAAGACAAGGGAATCACCCACCAGCTTTCAGACGCCTACACGCCGCAGCAAAATGGGGCAGCGGAGCGACTAAACCGGACCCTCATTGGCCTTGCCCGAGCCATGCTTGCTCATGCGCAGCTGGACCATACTTGGTGGGGGGCAGCAGTGCAATATGCCAACTGGGTTAAGAACAGAATGGGCAGCAAGGGGCTAGGGGGCAAGAGCCCTTACTTCATGTGGACCAGGAAGGTGCCTAGTGTGTCCATGGCACGAGTGTGGGGGTGCATGGCGCAGTACAAAGTGCCCAACCAGCAACGGAGGAAGCTGGATCCTAAGGCACAATGGGGCATTTTTCTTGGGGTGTCGGAGAGGAGCAAAGCTTGGATGTTGTGGAGTGTGGCGGATTAGCGGGTGGTGGAAAGCAGGGATGTGGTTTTCCACGAGGGGCTGAGCTATAAGGGGTGGAAAGAGCATGGTGCTAGTACAGTTGGGAACTCCCTTCAGGATCCCTACACCTCTTCCATCTTTGAGGGGGGATGGGAGGACCCTGGAGAGGAGGTAGAGGAGCAGCAAGAGGAACAAAAGGCAGCTGCACCTCACCATGAGGAGTCACCAACTGCTGGTTCTACCCCTGACCCTAACACACCAGCCCATGACCCGGAGCAGTCACAAGGGCAGCAGCAACAACAAGAGAAGCCGCAGCAGCCACCACAGGAGCATACACCACCTGTTCATGTGGGTAGGTGGCAGCAAATACTGCAGCAGCAGCTGTCCAAGTCACCACGGTCCCCCATGAAGAGAGTGACTTGGAAGGAGAAGCTGCAAACTTTGGAGCAGGGGGAGGCATCACCTCTGCGCCGCACCACACGCATCTCCCGGCCACCCGAAAGGTTCACACCAAGTGCACAGCATGCTTGCATGCATGATCATGAGGTGCATGATATGGAGGAGTGCATGCTTGTGGATGCTGAGGGGGGTGAGCTTGGGCTTGATTTCTGTCTCATGGGTCAGGTGCATGAGCCTAAGTCGGTCAAGGAGGCCTTGTCTCGTCCTGAGTGGGTGGAGTCCATGCGTGAGGAGCTTGAGTCTCATAGGGTGAACGAGTCTTTTGAGCTGGTTGATCCAGCTTGTGTGCCACCTGGAATGGAGGTCTTGAGGTGTCAGTGGGTGTGGAAGTATAAGCACATGGCTGATGGGAGAATTGAGAGGCCTAAGTCCAGGTTGGTGGCGATGGGGAACACTCAAACACTAGGCGTTCACTATGACCAGGTATATACCCCGGTGGGTAAACCTAACACCCTGAGAGGTTCCCTTGGGATGGCAGCATCCTCGGGGTCTCACATCCATCACATGGATGTGACCACCGCCTATCTTCATGGGGTCTTGAAGGAGGAGCTTTACATGAGGCAACCACCTGGGTTTGATGATGGGTCCGGCAGAGTTTGCCGACTCAAGAAATCAATCTATGGGCTAAAGCAAGCTCCAAGGCAGTGGTACCTCAAGTTTGATGAGACGCTAATGGATTTTGGGTTTGAGAGGTCGGAGTGTGACCCCGCCTTGTACCACTTGGTGAGGCATGAGGGCAGGCTGTCCCTCTACCTCTATGTGGATGACATTCTGCTCATGTCCTCGAGCATGGCATTGCTGGAAGAGGTGAAGGGTCTCTTGTCCTCTCGGTTCCGCATGAAGGACTTGGGGGAGGCCAAGTACTATTTGGGGGTGCAGATTGAGCGTGATGAGAGTGGCATTCTGATTCATCAAGAGAGGTATATTCTCAACATGCTTGAGTCCTTTGGCCTTTCTGAGGCTAACCCCGTGCGTACCCCTCTCCCTACAGGGTTCAACGTGCATGCACATGTTGAGGAGCCCTTGCTGCGAGATGAGCTGGTCAAGCTCTATCAAAGCATTGTGGGGTCTCTCATGTATGCCAGCACGACCACACAGCCCCAGATTGCTTATGCAGTGTCACAGCTGTCCAAGGTCGTGTCTTGTCCCAAGGCATTTCACTTGCAGGCTGCTAAGAGAGTGCTAAGGTACCTGAAAGGTTGTGTCAAGTCCGGTATCTTCTACCCCGCACACAACAAGCCTCATGTTGAGTTGGTGGGCTTTAGTGATGCTGATTATGCTGGAGATTCAGCTGATCGCAAGAGTCACACCGGCTACAACTATTGCCTTAATGGTGCAGCCATCTCTTGGCAGAGCAAGAGGCAGCCAGTGGTTGCATTGTCCACCACTGAGAGTGAGTACATCAGTCTGTGTCAGTGCATTCAAGAGGGTGTGTGGCTGAAGCGATTGTTTGGGGAGTTTGGGCATGAGTTTGCTGGTGGTGTGCCTGTGTTTGTGGACAACCAGTCTGCCATTGCCCTTGCACAGAATGCATGCTTGCATGGCCGCACCAAGCACATGCAGGTTCGGTGGCATTTCATCAGGGAGATGGTAGCGTGTGGCAAGGTGATCCTCCGGTGGTGCCCCACCGACCGTCAAGTAGCAGATATACTCACCAAACCCCTCCCTTTTGAGCGGCATGGTGTGTGCATGTCCTTGATGGGGATGCAGCCCCATGTCAGCATGGTGCCTGAGCAGGATGTGGGAGGACTGGTGCTTCTCTGCATTGACGACCTCATGCTGTGGATGGCGCCCTTCCCTGAGCAAGGGGGAGTGAAGTGAACGATTTTGCCCAGTGGTGTTCAGCCACCTCCAGCACGAGCAAGGGGGAGTGTTGATTGTGTAGGTGGTTGTGGTATTTTTCTCTAGCTGGTTGTGGGCTAAGGTTTTGGGCAAAATGTGGTGGTTAGACTTGTTGCCGGCTGGTATTGATCTCGCACCCAACAAGCACCAACAAACCTTTGCTATTCACTACAACACCTTTGGTGTTGCTAGTTTAGCACTTTGGGTTGTTGGGGATTGTTGTAGGGCAAGGGTTGGGTTGGTAGGGTTTGAACAACTCGTCCCTTTTCAGATCTGAACTCTTGCTAAAGCTAGTCTTTTGGTCTAATCCATGGCTGCCTACTAATTCCGCCAGAATACACCGTCGCACTTAAATCGCGATAGCGATCGGCCTAGATCTTGGTTGAAAGCATGCGTTACCATTCTGGAAATTAGAGATTAAGACCGCTCCAACGCGTACCTGCTCATAGTTTAAGGTTACGTGAGCTGCACGCAATGTTCCGTCGAAGTCGGCGGACTTAATCTCTTGTACGCTCTCCAGATTCACGCGCTTTCCATCATGCGGGACCCGCACGGCGTCGCCCTAGCCTGCCGCGGCGCCCTGCCCTAACCAGCGCCCGACCTTCAGACGGCCGCCCCTGCCCCCGCCCCTTGCAGCAGCTACCCCTGCAGCAGCCGCCTTTGGCCCCTGGAGCAGCTGCCCCTGCAGCAGCCGCCCCTGGCCCCTATAGCAGCTGCACCTGCAGCAGCTGCCCCTCGCCACTGGAGCAACCGCCCTTGCACCAGCCGCCTCTGGCCCCTTGGGCAGCCACCCCTGTCCCCTGGAGCAGCCGCCCCTGGCCCCTGGAGCAGCCGCCCCAACAGCAGCCGCCCCTGGCCCCTGGAGCAGCCGCCCCTGCAGCTGCCGCGGAGCCCTTGCTTTGCAGTGGTAGCGGACTCGCCTTTGCCGCCGTCGTACGCCTGCCCTTCTCCCCACTAGTGAGCACTGCCCTGCCCGTACTGCTGTTACTGCTGCTCCTGTTGCTACTGCTCTTTCTACTGCTGCTGCAGCTTCTCGCGTGGCTAGATGCAGCTCCAGCGCCGTCCGCGTGAGTCCCTCACGCCCCTACAGCTTCGTGAGTCGTACGCTAGTTGGGGTTGTAGGGGTGGCAGCTCTGCTAGAACTGCTACTGCGGCTACTACTGGTAATGCTGCTACTGCTGATACTGCGGCTACTACTGCTACTGCTACTCCTGGCGGTGGCCAGCTGCAGCTCCAGCGACGTTCGCGTAAGTCCCTCCCGCCCCAGCAGCTTCGTGAGTGGTACGCTAGTTGGGGTTGTCAGGGTGGCCGTAGTGGGAGTTGTCATGGAGTGAGTAGTTCGGGAGCTTCTTGTAGTGGCCAGGTGCAGCTGCAGCGTCGTGCGCGCGAGACCCTTTCACCCCAGAAGCTTCCCGAGTGGTATGCTCAGAGTAGAGGGTCACTAAGTAGTGCTCGCTGCCCGTACGTCATTCGCACGGGTCTCCGGACTGGTCAGCCTTGCGGGACTCCTGGTCACACAGAGTCCCGCTGCTTCGCCCGTCTGAGCGACGCTTGGCGTACAGAGTTTGGCGACGACGCTGAGCTCCCCTCCTAGCTGGAGGTGCTTAGGCAGAGGGTAGATATCTTTGCTCTTGAATAGGATGCTCTTCTCACTGCAATGTATGTATTGTCTACTAGTGCTGAGGGTGCCTGTCACCTGTGTGTGCCGCCTGACCCCGGTATCCAGTCTGCTGCTCTAGGTGCTGGTGAGGCTGTTGCTCTAGGTGCTCGTGCGTCTCCTGCTCCAGGTGTCGTTGAGGCTGCTGCTCTAGGTGCTAGTGAGTCTCCTGCACCAGGTGCTAGTGAGTCTGCTCTCTCTGGTGCTGCGCCTGCTACGGTCTTGCACACCTTCACCCTTGACTCGGGTGCTTCCCGCTCCTTCTTTCGAGACCGCACCACCCTCACGCCGCTTAGTCGGCCGGTTGCAGTCTCCCTGGCAGACCCCTCTAGGGGTCTTGTCCTTGCTCACTACTCCACTGTCCTACCGTGTCCGGCGGCCCCATCTGGCTCCGTGTCAGGTCTTTACCTCCCCTCGCTCTCTACGAACTTGGTGAGTGGTGCTGACCTGCAGGATGGAGGGCTTGACCAGTTCACTCCTCCGAGTCAGCGAGTGACCCACTGCACGTGTGCTCGGACGAGCCGACACTTCGCCACGTTTACCCGTCAGCCGGGGTCGAGCCTGTACACACAGACGACTGAGTCTCCTTCAGTTACTGTGTCTGGTCAGGTTGCTGAGTCGGGTCAAGTGTCTGCTGCAGCGTCTCGGTCTTGTCCTGAGTCTGCCCCCTGCTCGTGTCGCCTCCTGTCTCACCACACTCTCCTTTGGCACCACCGCCTTGGTCACCCTTCCCTGCCTCGTGTCCGAGGCATGGCCTCCTGTGTCCTTGTCTCTGGTCACCCCAGGCCCCTCCCTCACCATCCTCCGGGGCCTGTCCCTCCCTGTGTTCCCTGCGTCGAGGGACGGCAGCGCGCCGCTCCTCACTCCTCCGAGTTTCCTCCTACAGAGGCTCCGCTGCAGACTCTTCACATGGACGTGTGGGGCCCCGCCCGCGTCCGTAAACAGGGTCATGAGTGTTACTTCCTGCTGGTGGTTGACGACTACTCGCGTTACACCACAGTCTTCCCCTTGCACTGCAAGGGTGAGGTCACTAAGGTGTTGATCGATTGGATCCGCGCTGCTCGTCTCCAGATCAGAGAGAGTTTCGGCTCGGACTTTCCTGTTCTGCGTCTGCACTCCGACAGAGGTGGAGAGTTTTCCTCCAACCTTCTGCGAGCCTTCTATCGTGCGGGGGGCATCCGCCAGACGTTCACGCCTCCGGCCTCTCCACAGCAAAATGGGATTGCTGAGCGCCACATTGGCATGGTCATGGACGTCGCTCGTACGTCCATGATCCATGCGGTTGCTCCACATTTTCTGTGGTTGTTCACGGTTCAGTACACGGCTCATCAGATCAACCTTCAGCCCTGGGTCTCCATGCCGGAGAACTCCCCTGCTCTGCGGTGGACGGGGAGGGTTGGGGATGCATCTGCGTTCCGTGTCTGGGGATCTCGAGCTTTCGTCCGCGACTTGTCTACGGACAAGCTGTCCTCCCGTGCTGTTCCCTGCGTCTTCCTTGGCTTCCCCCCTGATGCGCCTGGTTGGCATTTTTACCACCCCACCTCGCGACGTGTTCTATCCTCTCAAGACGTCACGTTTGACGAGTCAGTTCCCTACTACCGTCTCTTCCCCTACCGCACTGCTCCCCTTCCCCCCCCCTCGCTCTTCCTCGCGCCACGTCCACCCCCGGTAGACCCCCTCCCCCCCCAGGGTCTTCTCCCTCAGGTGTGTCCCAGGTAGACGCGGTCGAGCCTGTCGAGGTAGCTGTTGACTTTGGTGCTGCTAGGGGTGCTGAGCCTGCGGGTGCCGGGTGTGGGGGTGCTGAGCCTTGGCGTGCCGAGCCTGGGGGTGCTAAGTCTGGGGGTGCTGAGCCTGGGGGTGCTGAGTCTGGGGGAGTTGAGCCTGGGGTTGCTGAGTCTGGGGGTGCGGAGCCTGAGGATGCTGGGCCTACTCGTTTGGAGTCTGGTGGTGCTAGGCTTGGAGGTCCTTTCGGTGCTTCGTCCCGGTGGGAGCCATTCTCTCCACAGGAGCTGCGCGAGTGGTTTGCTAGGTGCTGGCGCCATGCTGCTGGAGCTGGTGGTGCTTCCGGCACTGGAGGTTCTGCAGCGGTTGGAGGTCCTTCTGCTGCTGGGGCTGCTGGGGGTTCTAGAGCCACGGGTCCCGGAGGTGCTCGTACTGGAGGTACAAGAGCTGCCGGGCCTGGTGGTGCTACTGGAGCTGGAGCTGCTGGTGGTGCTAGAGCTGGCGGTGCTGCTGGAGTAGGTGCTACTGGAGGTACTGGAGCTGGAGCTGCTTCGTCTTCTGGTGGTCCTGCTGGAGCTGGGGGTGCTGCTGGAGGTGCTGCTGGAGGTGCTGGAGCTGGAGGTGCTGCTGGAGCCGGTGCTCCTGTGGGTGCTGGAGTTGGCGCTACTGGAGCTGGTGGTGGAGCTGCTGGAGCTGTTGGAGCTGACACTGGGGGTGCTGGTGCTGTCCCTGCTGGTTCTAGAGGTGCTGCGCGGCCACGACCGTACTTCGTTCCGCTCCTTGAGCAGGTTCTTGGTCTTCCGCCCTATACTGGTCCTGCTCCTCCCTTAGAGTGTCCACCGCCTGTCCAGTCCGAGTCACAGTTACACCCCTCCTCCCCACTGCCTGCTCCTTCTCCCTACACTGGTCGTACTGGAGGTCTTGCTAAGCGTCGTGAGCCTACGTCTCCTCCAGCGTTGCCTGTTCGTACAGCTTGCACTGGTCGTCGTGTTCCGCGTCAGCGTCCTCCTGCCGTCCCAGGCACGCACCAGATGGCACTGCGTTCTTCCACTGCTCCACTTCTTGTCCCTTTGCCGTCTCCTCCAGAGTCCTCTCTTCCTGCTCCTGCTGACCGGGAGTCGGACTCCTTTCCTGCCAGCCCAACTGTCACGCGTCTCCTCGCTACTGTTGTCACTGACCCTTCCATTGAGTCAACTGCTGCGTCTGCCTTCGTTGCTGAGCTTGTCGACTTCACTGCTCACTGTCGTCTAGACTACGCCGCTAGTCTTGTTGCTGAGTTTGAGTCTGTCTGTCCTCCGTCCGTCGGGGGTGAGTGTGCTCTTAGCACGGACGTCCTTGAGGACAGGCAGGAGGAGTTCCAGTGTTTTGCTGCTGCTTTACCTCATCTCGTGTCCATGCTGATTGCACCTGAGGGAGATCCGGATGCCCCAGACATCCCGACTTGCGCTCTTACGCATAGGCGATAGAGGGTCCCTACTCCTGTCAGTGGCAGTCAGCCATGGACGCAGAGATGGCTTCCTGGAAGTCCACACGCACCTACGTTGATGAGGTTCCCCCACCTGGGGCGAACATCGTCAGTGGCATGTGGGTTTTCACGGTA